GTAGGAAATATACATGGTGCAATTCCCAGAATTGGAGCAGAATTGATAGGGTGTTGTTAAGCCCTGAATGGCTTCTTCATTTTAAACTAAAACTCTGGGGGCTACCTAGACTTATATCAGATCACTGCCCCCTCTTATTGATGGAAGATGAAAGAGATTGGGGCCCCAAACCCTTCAGATTTATTAATGCGTGGACCTTGCATCCCAAATTTGCTCAACTATTTACTACCACCTGGGCAAATGCTAGTTCTGTTGGCTGGGCTGGGTTTATTCTGCAACAAAAACTAAAACACTTAAAGCTGGAACTAAGGAAATGGAATATTGAAGTGTTTGGTAATGTCTCATCCAAACTTAAGGATTCAGAGGATGAATTGCATGACCTTGACATCATTGCGGAGGAAAGAGAATTGCTACACTCCGAAAAAAGTCAGAAGAAGAGAAGTCAGAGGTGAAGTTTGGAAGCTATACAGAAAGGTGGAGTGGCTATGGCATCAACAGTCCAGACTGAATTGGGCTCTTAAAGGGGACAAAAATACTAGGTTCTTTCAAGCTATTGCGAGCTCTCGCCAAAGTAGAAACTTGATTAATACAATCTCAGCCAATGGTGTTTTGCATGAGGAGCCTGGCAGAATTAAGCAGGAAGTATTCATCCATTTCAAGAACCACTTCCAAGAACATTGGACTAACAGGCCTGCTTTGGGTGGGGTATTCAACGTAATTGAGGATAGTCTTGTCTCCCAATGCTTGATACCCATTTTCACTGAAGAAGAAGTTCGGGCAGCCATCAAAGACTGTAATGGCAACAAAGCTCCAGGTCCGGATGGGTTTAACCTGTTGTGCTTTCAGAAATTCTGGAAAGTCATGAAACTGGAGATCATGCAATTCTTTAGTGACTTTCATAAACATAGCAAGCTTACCTATGGTATCAACAGCTCTTTCATTACCCTCATTCCCAAGATTGATAGTCCCATGAATCTGTCTGATTATAGACCCATTAGCTTGGTGGGCTCTCTTTATAAAATTTTGGCAAAAGTATTAGTGCAGAGGTTAAAGCCTATGATGTCTTTAATCATAGGTGAGACCCAGACAGCTTTTATAGGAGGCAGGAACATCCTAGACGGGGTATTTATCGCTAACGAGGTTGTGGATGGATGGAAGAAGGCCAAGAAACAAGGGTTAATAATCAAATTGGACTTTGAGAAAGCCTTTGATTCTGTCAACTGGGAATTCTTGTTCTCTATGATGGCTAGCTTTGGCTTTGGTTCTAAGTGGATCTCTTGGATAAAAACCTGTGTGTCTTCAGCCCGTATTTCCGTCCTTGTGAATGGATCTCCAACAAATGAGTTCTCTCCGCAAAGAGGCCTTAGGCAAGGTGACCCATTATCACCCTTCCTCTTCAACATAGTGGCTGAAGGGCTCAATATCCTCCTCACTAGAGCTATTAATATGGGTCTCCTTAAAGGTGTCTTGGTCGGGGTTAATGAGGTCCTTGTATCACATCTCCAGTTTGCGGATGACTCTCACAAGGAGGGGAGGCTAACCCCTCAAATTTGAACTTCAAAACATGATTTTAGCCACTGAAATAACTCTAAAAATCAGTATTTAAAGGCTCAAAAGAAGATAGTGTAAAGGTGGGAAACACAAGGGTAAAGGTCTTGAGAGCAAGGTGCAAAAAAGGGTTTATTGGCCTTAAAACCCAAGTTTTAGCCCAAAAATACAGAGTTTTTACATCCCAAAAATAGTTGGAAAATGGTAGGAAAATGAGTAAATAAAGCAAAAGAGGCAAAGCTTTATACCTTCAAAGAGAAGATCACTTTCTAGGCAACAAAACAAGGCAAACACACTCTCAAGAGCTCAAACAAGACCCAAAGATACCTCAGCTCAAAGATAGAGAGGTTTGGTTAAGAGTGTATAGGCAAAGGTTAAGAAATTTACAAGAGAGAGAGAGAGGGGGGGAAATTTTGCTCCAAAATTTTTCTAACCTCCAAATATGAGAGGGAGTTCATCTATATATAGAAAACCAAGCAACTCCCTCAAAAACACCCAACCATACACATGGGAGCAGATGCAAGCATTTGTGCAAACAGCTGGCACAGCTGTCACAAAATATCTGCAAAAGACATTGGTGGCCGGCAACCAAGAGCAATGGCTGGCAGCCCATAGACGTGACCGGCAGGCCACCAGAGGTTGCAGGCTTGAAGATTACTGGGTTTGGTCCAAAAACAAGGCAACAGGAGCGCAAGGTTTGGAAGGCTCAAAGCTGTGGCACTTTGCTGAGGACTTCAAGCACTTGACAAGCATATACACTCATTATTAGGTGTACAAGCAATGACGTCCAAGTCGTAAGGGCCGTCAAAAATGGGGTGTCTACAGTAATTTATTTTTTAATTTTTACCAATTAAATTATGACGTGTATTTGTTATTAAGAACTTATAGCACACAATTAATGACATAAGAATAAATAAATAAATAAATAAATAAACCTTTTATATGTAACTGTGATGAAAAATGAATAAAATTTAATTGATTCTAAATTATTTGTACTAAATATTCTAGATAAATTTTTTCAATTATTATTTAATTTTAAAAATTAATTTTTGATTATTTATTTATACCCGTGCATAACACGAGTAATTATGCTAGTTGTCATAAACTTTAAGGGAGAATGATAGACCCCTCAAAAGTTGATGCTTAAAATTTATAATTTTGTAAATTGCCCACTCAAAAACTTATGTTTGAAATTTAGAATATTTATTTTTAAAAGATAAATTAAATGTGCTTTCGCATATATAAATATGGTAATATATATATATATATGTTTTCTTTTCTTATGCTGTGTTTGGATTTTAAATTTGTGAATAAAAAATAAAAATGAAATAGAAAAATAAATAAAGTATAATTTTTTTTTTCTTTCCACTTTTTCATTTTTGCAATAAATTTCACTATGAATTTAAAACCCAAACATTGTTTAAATGGCTTCATCCACAATGTTGATTTCCCCATAAAAGTGGAGAAATTAATGAATGGTCGATTTATAATTTGAGGCACATCCAAAACATGCTTTTAGTATACAATTCACCTCACTCTTTGACATGAAGTGTTATAGCCCCACTACAACAAAAGTAATTTATGGTGACGAAAAGTAGTGAAAAAAATAAATTTCGTCACTAAATAAGAACAATCCGTGACGAATTATTAAATTTTGTCACATATAATAAAAAATAAAAATAATAGATGACGAAATTTGTTTTCATCGACAAATACTTCTTTTTAAGTGCGGAAAAATTAAGTTTTGTCACAGAAGGTTTTCCTGCTATTTTTTTTTTTTTGGTTGGCGCCAAAATTTGAGACTTTTGGTGAGAAATTTTTTTTGTCACCAATTATAAAATTATTAGTGAGGAATATGTTTTTGTCACCAATAATTTTAAATATTTTTTTAAAAAAAATTAATTTTAAATATTTTAAAAATATTTGATAAAGAATATATTTTCGTCGTTAATAATTTTGATATTTTAAAATTTTTGGTGAAAAAATTATTTTATCGCCAATTTTAGAGAGAGAATTTAAGATATTGGCGGTAATGAAAAAACACAACCCTACTATTTCCCCCTTTCCTTCTTTTTTTTTTTTTGTTTTTTTGTTTTTTGTTTTTTGGTGATTCAGTTTTCCTCTCATCCGTCTCTTGCAAAAAACACATTCCTTCAGCTTGTTCTCCTCCTTCAGTGCCACCACCGACGTCACCCGCGTTCTCCTCCGAGCAATCGTCAGCGCTGTGGGCGTCCCTCATTCGGTCATTTCTCTATTTTTCTCTTTTCAAGTGTGGGTCCTCTGTCTCTCTCTCACACTCAATTTCTCTGTTTTTCTATCTTTGTTTTCCCTGAATTTCAAAACTAATTTCATTGTTTTTCCTAATTTTGAAAACTACTGAGACACGCAGTGTCCCATATATGATTTCTTCGGACTGGTTATGAAGAAATGGGTGCTTGAATATAGACTTGTTGTTAAGTTAATGACTCGTTCATGGTATTTGCTTTATAGAATGGAAAATGGAGGATAGGTATCTGAAACTCAAGTATCCCTACCTCGGGTATGGCTTGCATATTGAAATGTCTCCTACAACGCAGAACTCTAGTTTCTGTCAGGTAAGCCAAGCATCTACCGATGTATGAATCTTGTGCCTAGAAATTAACTGAATACATGACATTAAACACATTTTGGATGTTTGTTTCTGAAATTCGTTCTCAAAAGTTTCTCCTCCAGTACAGAATCTGGTTTCCATGTTTCTAAAAACCTCACTGAGAGCATCCGATTGAGGCTATAAGCACAATAGGGAGCATTTACATACTGTAGAAAGTGCAGCAAAGCCTTAGATTTCTGATCTACTGCCCAATGTAAATATATGAAATTCTTGTTAGAAAGTAACAAACTTCAAGAACAACATGAAAATGGGTAAAAGAATAGAGTACAATTATAATTCTTAATAGTTTCAGTCAGATTTAAACATTAAATTGCTATCAATAAGAGTAACATCAAAATGCTATCTATTTCTCTTTGAACTTGCCAAATCTATGTTTGATGTGCTTTGATTTCTTGAACATAATCCCTTAGCTGTTTATTTCCACGCTTTAAACTAAAAAAAAAAAAGGTAAATAATAAAGGTCTTAGAGAAAGCATTCCTTTTATGCAACTGTTACCGAAATTGTTGTAACAGTTAATGCTACTAGACTTTTTGACATCCTTGGAACATCTATGATTGTCAAGACTTGTAACAGTTAATGCTACTAGAATTTTTGACATCCTTGCAAGCCATCTTTTTATTTTTTTCCCCCTAAAATTATTCTCTTCAAATCATAAATATATGTAGGCCTCATTCATATATCGTTGTTGCCAATGCTTTATTTTTTTCCTTTCAGGAGTTGAATATTTTTCACCTTTCTATGTATAATCCCCAGTGGTCTAGTAGTTTTGATTTTTTTTTTTTTTTAGACAGGTAGTTAATATCTGATGACTGGAAGCTACGTTGGAAGTTATGACCTTGGTAGCCAGTCAGATGAGAGCTATCATTTTAAGAGATTACACATAGAGCCTATATATGATGCATTTATATGCCCTTTAACAAAATAAATTATGCACGATCTTGTTACCTTAGAAAATGGACAAACTTTTGAGCGAGAAGCCATTGAAAAGTGATTCAAAGAATGCAAGGAGAGCGGAAAAACACTACTTTGTCCGTTGACTCTAAAAGAATTAAGAAGTACGAAAATGAACCCGAGTATAGCTCTGCGGAACACCATTGAAGAATGGAATGCCAGGAATGAAGTTGTTCAACTTGATATGGCTCAAAAGTCATTATATCTGACTAGTCCAGAGAACGAAATTATGCAGAGTTTGAAGTTTGTCTAGTACCTCTGCCATAACAGCCGGTCAAATAAACATGTTATTCGCAATGCGGAGCTGATATCTACAATTGTTGACATGTTGAAGAGCAGCAGTCGTAGAGTTCATTGCAAAGCTTTGGAAACTCTTCGAATTGTACCAGAGGAAGACTCTGATAATAAGGTGGGTCATTGTTCAAATTATCCAACAATCAGGGCATGGATGCAATTAATGCCTCTTATTTATGACTTTTTTATTTTAATTTTATTTAGGAGATAATGGCTGGAGGGAACACAGTACGAACAATAGTTAAGTTCTTGTCTCATGAGCAGTCAAAAGAGAGGGAAGAGGCTATCTCTCGGCTGTTTGAGCTCTCCAAGTTTGAAACTTTGTGTGAAAAGATTGGTTCCATTAATGGAGCAATTCTTATATTGGTTGGAATGACTAGCAGCAAATCAAAAAATCTGTTGACTGTTGAGAAGGTTGATCGAACTTTGGACAATCTCGCTAAGTGTAAGAATAATGTAAGACAAATGGCTGAAAATGGTAGATTGCAACCTTTTTTAACACTACTCCTTGAAGGTATTTCCACTATCATCATTAGTTACGCGCTGATTTGCTTGCAAAAAATGTACCTTTTTTGCAAAAGGCAGAACATAAGTTTTATTCTTTGATATTTAGAATGGACGTAACAATTTTCCACGTGGAATGAAAGTCCGCTGTTGACAAGAGGTCCTATGGTACAACTTTATAAAACTAACAAGGTAGAATGAATAAGGCGGTTAATGGAGATCATGAAGGAGGCAACAATTAAGAGTTTAGTTTATTTAGGAGTTAAAAGTTTAATTAGGTTTTTATATCTTAATATTTTTTTTGTTGCCTTATTGGATTGTTCCTTTACTTTGGTCTATGTATGGGACTTGAGTGTATTGAATTATTGGAGTTATTGCCATAATATTGAGAACGGAACTTATATACTTCACCCCTCTCTCTCAGGCCGTCTCTTCTTCTTATTCTTCTCTTCTTTCCCAACTCTTGTCTGGCTACTTTCCCTTGTCTGTTTTTTCTTTCCTTCTACTGTCCGCTGCATCCATTTTGGTATTAGACAATCCACAATCCTTTTTCATCAATTTTGGTATCAGACGATCCACCCAATCCATCGGACCACACCAAAAACCAAGCCAGATTAGAACCAGAACAGTCTTAGAACAGCCTTGGAGGAGGTATCCCATGAACTCGTACATCACCTTTTTGGTAAGTCTCGCTTGTTTTATCTTTTTATTTTTTTCATGTTGGTTAGTATATACTAGTTAAAGCACAGCAGTTTGACTACTTATTAACTAAGGTTTAACAAGTTTCAAGATGTATTTAATGAAAATAGATTCATTATCAAAATTCTTACTTAGCATGACCCTAGTTAAAATACATACTAACCAAAGTAGAGACAAAACAATGTGTTTACGTTTTTGTGTATTTTTGCTAGGCAATGTTGGAGTTGCTCTAAGTTAGTGATGTGATTAATAGGACCTTGCCATGTAGAAAGGAACTTCTAGTTTTTAAGCAAGTCATTGTGTACACAATTTGTATTGACATGGATAGAGTTATTATTTGGAGCAATTATTTGCTAGCTTTTGATGTCTCTGTAACCCAGCTTTTGACGTCTCTGTGGATAATTTTCACTTGAGAACCTTCATGGAGATATGCAAGCCCCTCTGTTATTCCCTATATGATGTCGAACCGCTGCTTGCAGCTTATAATTTGAGTCTTGTTCTTATCTGCATGGAATAAAAGAGTGTCGCCACTTAAAGATACAATTGAAAGAATGCGCAAGGATATCTCAGGTTTTGCTTTATAAGCTTTAGTCAATTATAATATAGCCAAAATAAATAAATAAATAAAGTCACAAGTTTCAGGTCATAGTCATGTGAAACTCCATAAGGGAGTAGGATTAATCTCACATAGATAAGGTGATAGTAAAAGCAGTAATAGGTATATAAGTAGATGAATGGAAAAAGGAAAGCATGTTTGCATGGTTTGTTATGTGCTATGATTATATGAATACATCTATAACTGCAATTTTGAGTGAATTCAGTAATCCTTTAATTTGTGTAGCAATGCAAGTTACACAATTAAGTTCAATTACACAAATCTAATGATACATGGGGTCTTCTAAATATCTGAAGAAATGTAAAAACGTGTATTTTATTGCAAAAAGATGAAAATAAGCTAAGAATTTAAACAATTCAGTATTTTATGTTTAGTCAAAAGCAGCCAAAATTAAAAAACCAAAGAGCCAAAAAATCATGAGCATGTTTATAAATAAAAACTAAAAAATCACAATGATTCTTTACACGAGGATTTGATCAAGGCTTTTGTTGGGTACAAATTCATAAACAAGAAGGCATTGAGGTGCTTCAATGGTACAACCCAAAAGTCTTACAAGATTCTTGTGTTGTCTTACAAGGTTCTTATGTTGAATTCCACTAATCAAATTTACCTCATTGAAGAAGTCATCGGCCCATTGTCGTGAATCAAATGTACCTCAATGCTACATTATATTTTGGAGCTATTATATATATTCTGCCATAAGTGATAGTGATAATGGTATTCTTGCAATCTTTTGGCTTCTTATGTTATCCGTGTTGCTTTATCATCAAGGATCACCTCAACTCTTTGAAGTTTTGAATTGTTATATGTATTTCTACTAAATTGGTTTATAAAATAAAATTATTTATATATGAATTTAAATGTAATTGATAATATATTAATGCTTTCCTTGTTTGTTTTCTTTGCAGATTGGTTTTTGATGACGTTTGGAAGCATACTTGCAAATGAAGATCAACTGTTGAATTTTTTTTCCTGAACTGATACTTAGTTTTAGTTGCAAATCAAGATCGAATGTTATTTATTTATTTATTTTTTGCCTCAACGTTAGTTCATTTTGGAATTTGCTACGATGATTTTTTTTTTAATTTTTTCTTATACTTGATGGATTATTATTAAATTTGTTTGATGGATATATTTTCATTTATAATATAAATTGTTTAGTGAATTTTTTTATGGAATGGTGTATAACAACTAGTGGATTTCTTAGTACATTTAAAAGGCTATTGAGATATGAGTAGGAATATTTGTGAAATAATAATTTAAATTGAAATATAAAATATGGAACAAATTCAGTGACGAATTTTTTTTGTTATTTGTACTAGTTATTATGACAAAGTGATTATTTGTCGTTAATAAATTTTTTTTATGACAAACTTTATTGCAGTTTATATATGAAATATTTGGTTGATTTTGTTGTTTGGTGACCAAAAATTTTGTCACGTATATATATTTTTGTCATGAAATAAATTTCGTCACCCATGTATAACTTTTGGAGACAAAAAATGTTGTCATCTTTACATGTTATGGTGACGAAATTATTTCCTCGTCAATGATCAACATGTGTGACAAATTTATTCGTCAACTAAAGTTATAAATATGGTACGGAATAATTATTTAGTGACGAAAATGAGAATTTTTTGTGACAAAATGTTGTTTTATTGGTGACAAACAATTTCATCACTAAAGTAATATCATTGGTGACGAAATTATTTTTTGTCGCAGTGGTTTTTAGTGACAAACATTCAATGACAAAACCGGTGAGGAAAATACGTCCTCACAAATATCTATAGTAACAAAATTAGCTCTTTGGAGACAAAAAAAATTCGTCATTCAAGACCCAACGTGTTGTAGTGTCTCTTTATTTCTAATTTTTGGATTTGTAGGATACATTGCGTCATGGACTGTGTGAACCACTTTGAGTTGTGTTCTGTACAGTCAACCACTTTCTCTAGCAAACTACAATCCTTGATAGATAATTCTTGAAGATTTTGCAGCCTCGAAAGCAATTGTGCTTGAAAAACTTTTATCAATTTGTCGCAGTGTCATACATGTACATATCTAAGTTTGGACAAGGACATCGACGAAGGTGGACAGCGTTCCATCCCTTCCAAATTGTCAAGATGCTGAAGAACTAGCACCTCCAAAGTAGGGAATACAACCTGAAAAGAACTCATTCTTTTAGTTATAGTATAATGATAACAGGAATGGTTATGAGATATATACCTCTCTGTACTTTGTACGTGCTACCTAGAACTTTTTTAACCTTGAATTTTAAATTATTGGAATAAGATATGGTAGCCCATTTCATTTTGTTACTTGAACCAAAACAAAAATTAAAAAATTAAAAAAAAAAATAATCATACAAATCATTGTAAAAGGTAAGTAGCTTTGGTTTCACCAGCATTCTACTTCTTCATTTTACCTTCTCATTGAATAGAGTTTGTATGACATTTTGGACGCGTTCTGTTGACGTAGCCGAAGTAGCAATCGCTTTGGGAAAGAAACTCACAAGGTTCGGTAGATCATAAAGCTGCAAAACTTTCAATTGAGTGAACTCAATTTTATCTACTGAGCTTTTGCCCTGCCCATTTTCATCTGTTACAATCCTTGACATCATCTGACAACTCCTTATGTCCAATTCTTGGAGTTGTGACATACACTTCTTCATGAAATGTGAGAATAGATATCTCAAGTTATCACAGCCATGAACATGTAGAATACTTAATTGTGAAATGTACGTAAATCCAATGGGATCTCTCATTGAAATATAATCTAGTTGGGGTAGATGTTTTAATTTTAGAGATTTCAAGAGCGAGAGCATCTCTGATTCTTGTTCCTTACTGTCCATCATTTTCAATTCAAACACCTTCTCTAGTAAACTACAATTTTCTACAGTTAGATCTTCAAGTTTCGTAGCCTTGTAAGAAATTGTGATGGAAAAACACAGAGCCATTTGCCAGTGTTCTACATGTACTTTTCTGAGTTTAGAAAAGGAACCCATTGAGATTGGAATGTGTCCCAACCCTTCCAGATTGTCAAGATCCTCGAGTTTTAGCTCCTCCAAGCTAGGTAAAGCAACCTAAAAATAAAACTTTTGTCAATGGTAGTTATAACATTTGTAGGAATGGTTATGGAATGTCACTCCATCTCTGTCTCTCGTCTTGTAGTTTGCATATATGACCAATAATTTTTACAACCAAAACATTAAATGAATGAAATAAGATATGATTGCCTTTTTTTCATTTGGTTATTGAGACCAAAAAAAAAAGAAAAGAAAAAGAAACCAATCCTTGACAATGAAAAGAGAAAGAAGAGAAACAAATGCTTGTGTCAGTCAACTAAAGAAACTAACTATAGAATAAGCTACGTTCTACAAGTAAAATTTCCATCCATGGCCAAATGACAAAACCATTTCTAAAGATCTTCGCTCATTTCTAAACAGAGTAAGTGGCGGGGACAGATCTAGGATTTGAGTTTTGGAGGGACGGAAACATATGTAACTTTTCATCGAAAAATTATTATAAAATTTTAAATTTTGATTTATACCAGCACAATAAATAAATAATATTACTATTAATTAGACATTCTTTGTTAACATAATTGAGAATAAAAATAGAGTTAGACATATTTCTTGTTTGCATTAATTTAACAAAATATTAAATATTACTATGTCTCCATCTAGTTAACTATTTGAAAATGTTGTAATCACCACTTTTTATAATATATATAAAAATATCTATGTTAAACTCGACATCAAAACCTTAATTAATATATTTCTCAATAAATATGATCAAGTAACTTGTTACAAAATCATCTTCCATCTTATTATGTAATTTAGTTTTGAAAAGAAATTATAATTGAAAATGTATGTTTTATGAGTATAATCATAATCCATTTCAATAAGCAGTATTAAATTTTATTAACTTATTTTAAGAATGTCATGTGGAAATAGACAATATTCTTATTTCTAGAGAATGAACAAACAAAAATAAATGCCAAATAAAATGTATAAGCAAATTAAAGTGTGATTTATAAATATATATAAAAAAAAAACCATAAATGACATATGAACAAAACACAAGAATAGTAACAAATATAAACAAATAAAATAATACAAGTAACTTTATACAATATAGAAATATAATAAACAATATAGATGACAAATAGAATAGATCAATATTTGATAAAACTCAATTTAAAAACTATTTTTAAAATTTTGTAATGTAAATAAGTTGGAGGGTGCAAACTATTGAAAATGCAAACTACTTTAATTTATAATTATCTTACTAATTACTAGTACAATACATATATTTTTAGGAAAATTTACGTGTAAGTCCTAACAGGTGAACTTATTATTCATTAGATCCTGTGAGAATTCATGGCCTTTTTTTTTTATCAAACACTATTTAAAAAAAAGGTAACTAATTGTTAATTTTCAGCAACAGTTTAAAAATTGTTACAAAAAAAGTTTCTTAATTTTCAACTTTTAACAACAGTTTGAAAATTTCATCACAGAAAAATATCATTAATTGTAAGTTTTAGTTACCATTTATAAAAGCCATGAAAAAAAAAAAAGTTACTAATTGTCAAATTTTAGCGACATATAAAAAATCATCGCAAAATATTATTTTTAATAATAATTTTATTAAGATTTATTTTTAATAGGACTTAATGAGAATTAATTTTAACTATTAAACCTATTAATAATTTATTTTAATTTTTAAAAAAATTTGGAGTGCGACCGCCACAACCCGCATTCTAGATCCATCCTTGGTGAATGGTTAATATTTCTAAGAAACGGTTACTTATTCTTTGATTACTGTCATGCTTTCTTCTACTTGGCTACTTTTATCACACGAGAGAAGTTTAAGATGTTTCGGTAATTTGAGGAACAATTATTGTAAACTACGTTATTCTAGTATTCTTTTATATATAAAACACATTATTTAAATAATTTTAATAATGTTAGGATGGTCCTATTTTTTTGGGGAAATTTCAGTTTACTCTTAGATTTGCTTTAAGTGCGATTTATCTTTTTAATATTTGGAAATAAACACATAATTCCTTATAATTTGTAGAATAAATATTTCTTTAGACAAACCTCAATTTACTACTTGGTTTACTCTATGTCTGGTTTACCCTCTATCATTTACAAATAAACACATAACTTCTTGTAGTTTGTAAACTAAATTTTTTATAGGTAAATTTTACTTTATTCTTGTGGTTT